CTGCCATCATCCATCCACCTCGTTATTTCCTTCTAGCCAAACTTCAAGCAATGTTTTACTTTGTATTTGGCTCAGAATCCATTTCTGAATGACATGTATGAAGCACTAAAAGGTGCAGAATAGTGATTTTTTTTCTGAATTGTAGAATCACACATTTCTTAGCAAAATACTAACATAGCAAAAATTTTCACTATTTTTATTTTGTCATCAAATGTTGGTCTTATCGCCCAGCTTGGTTACAAATGATCTGGCAATGTATTAGAAAACTGAGCAAGTTTTGAATTAAAAAAAACAAAACAAAACCTTGATCATCTTTAGACTTTCAAATACACACAGGAAACAGAAACAGGGAATGGAGAAGGTCCACTTGGCACAACGTATAATCTCATCTTTCACTTCTTTCTGTCTTGTGGCCGTGAAACAATCTTGCTTGCAGAAGCCATCCAGAGATGCTGCTTCTCATGGGTAAGAAGGCACTGGTGTTACAGGAGCACATGTGCACTGAAATCTCCTTGTTCAGCACAGATCCTAGTAAAATTCCACTGAAGCCTCAAATACCCACTACCTGTGCAGAGGTACAGTGCTCGGTGTACAGCTACTTTCTCAAAGATGTTTTGCCTCTTCTGTACCTGTGGTTAACTTTTCTCTAATAAAGGCGTTTTGACTACTTCCATTCTGCAGTTTCCTCCAAGTTATACTGGACACATATCAAAATGTTTCAGGATTGGCTTTAGCTTGTGTTCAATCGAATTACCTGATTGGACCTGGTACTTTTACATCTCCAGTAAAGACCATCACAGCTTCCTTCTTCCTCAGCTATACACAGCCTTAAAACACATATGGCAAAGCATGGTGAAAGAACCCCATAAGCTTTCTGAAGAAGCCTTGGGGAGTAGAGAGGACATTGGTCCATGCACTGCTCAAGTTTTTTCAACCCCTTAGGAGCCCCTGGAGCTTTTCATGAGGGGTTATTGAGTAGACAGGACAGCAGGATGGAGCTATGTAAAGAAAATCAGCTGCACTGTGATACCAAAAAACCACAGTGAAAAGGATAAGCTGTGTCCAAAGGTCTCACAGTGTGCAAACAGCCTGTGGCCTGCTTCAGGGACACCTAATTTAAAATTATAACCTTTATATAATTTACATGGCATTAACCCAGATTGTTTTAGATTCACAGGGTCTGGGCAGTAAGACTAAAGCAGAGTTTAGACACGGTCCGCTCAAGGACATGCTTTTTCACACCAGTTCTCTTCTTTTGGGGGTAGCCTCCTTTCTATGTAGAAAGACCTCAAGTTGAATCAGAGCAAAGAAGGAAAATTTTAAGAATGACAAATCAGCAATCTCTATTGCTGCCTGATTCCAGAACCAGCTAGGGAAATCATCCTGCCCCAAAAGAGCACTGCAAGAGGTATTGTTCCCTTACAATAAATTCGTTCATAGCAGCTTTCATGTGGGAAGGCTGCTTCTAAGTTTCTCAAGAGACTTGTCACAAGCTTCTCTCATTCTCATTCTCATAACAGATACGCAGTGCAAAGGGCTAAACAAAGGGATGACTGATGTAAGCATCAAGCTGAGATCTTTCAGTTCAAGCTAGTCCTTTGATGCTCTGTTCTATCTGAAGCACTTTTCAATTACAAGCAGATTACAAGAACAGCTTTCTCCATCCAATTTTTCTTAGTTTTATCAGTCGTGCTTGGTATAGGCTCTCTTTTGTAGCTAAAGGTCAATGATCTTTAATTAAATAGTAACTTCCACACTGTTCTTGAATAATCTTGTCTGTAAGCCTGGAGAAATTATATAAAGCACCTTGCCTCTGCAAGCTGCAATTACAGAATTTTTGCCACTAACTTGGAAAAAAATGTGATCTTAGCCCCATTTCTCTAAATCACCTCTTCAGCAGAGAAATGCTAAGTAGTCAAAGTTCTCAGCTGAGGAACATGCTCAAGAACAGGCAAATGCATTTCATTGAAGTTAGGCCATTTGCAATTATTTGATATTAGTCTCCCTTCAGTTTCCAGTTTTTAATTCCTGAAGATAAGTTTCAAACTTGAGTTTAATTTCAAAAGGCCAGCTGATTTAAAAATAATTCCCAGTGCAACTGGGTTGTCTGGCATATTTTCCTGTTTGTATGAGGCACAGAGCTGCTCAGTTAAATCACCTTTTTCAGTCTTTCTTGCCAGCTGCCATCCAAGTGATGAATAAAGGGCTCTTAACCGGGTAGCAAAGCTTTCACCCCAGGGCAACAAAACAATGAAGTGCTATGTGCTGCTGCCACTGATGGAGTTACCAGTCAGCTCCCCTCATCCTCTGGTTTCAACACAGTTTTCCCTGAACCAGACTGCTGAATGTGACAATGTAACAGATGGTACCAAAGCATCACTGACCACATTGCTGATTTACTCATGGAAAGTATTTTTCCTTTTAATGGTAGTTTCCTATAGATAAAGAAAATGTATTTTCTCAGACGCTCACAATTTTGTAATTCAAAGTAGAGATCTGTAAACTACCCATTGAGAAAGTTTGTCTTCCCTCAGAAGGGATTAAAATAGATGCGAGTTAGCTGGAGTAAAAACAGAGACAACAAAATTACTTGTACCACAGCCTTGTGCCCTGAGTGTGAGGCAAATGTGGGTGGAAAACCCAGGGTTTTTTGACTGCTTCAATAAAATAGGAAAATTAGGGAAAAGAAAATGTCCCTTCATTACATTGAACTGCTTAAATGTGCCTGACTTCCATTGTTGCTACACGTTGCTCTTCTGCCAGGTCCTACCCACTCATTAAATATCTGGAAACACCACAGTCCATGCAGGATGCAGAGAGATCAGGAAAAAATAGAAATGAAGAAGAGGTAAGAGCAGAAAACTTGACGGATGACCCGAACCCATCTACCATTTTGAGGAAGGGATGGGGCAAGAAAACTGGAAGTAACTGAAGAGGCACACTGTGCACTGGATGCATTGCATGAGAGGGTCTACATCCCTCTATGCCCTTTGAGGCCCTACATCCTCAGTTTGCGTAGCCATTGCACCCTGAAGTAAGAAAACTGAGGGCACGGTTCTCCCCTCAGCAGGATCCAGGCTCCTGCAGGGCTCACGTCTCAGCAGGCATTGGAAACCAGGAACTACTGCTCTCTCAAGGGCAAGATTTTGCTGCCTTAGCGAAGGCAGAGATCCTCAGCTCCTGCTGGTTTCTGTGGTCAGAACGGGAGCCTGGACTGCTCCAGAAAGCAAAATTTGCTCAGCTGATGCCACTTGATATCTGGAAAATGGCAGCAAGCTGTTGTGTGCCTCTATCTCACAAATGCACAAGGTACATCACAGTCATCCGTGGCAGGTTTGGACCTCAGTAAAGGGTGAGATAATGCACATTCTGCCCAGAAGGCAAGGTCAGTCATTTCTGAAGTGTGACATTTGGTACCTGTCACTGAGCCCATAGCTGTTGGCTATACCAGTAAGACCACTGAGACAGCTCCTGGGAACTCAGTAACAGCAGTGACTTTATTTTTGCTCCCCAAAATGGGGATAAACTGACTTTCAACATTGAAAAATAGGTACGTAGCACACCTGTATCATCCCCATCTTAAGCACTGTGCAGACCCCTACTGCAAACTCCGCCACTCGTTACAGACAGAGGTAAGGACTTCTCTTCAGCCAGGTGAAATGACAGCTTGTGACTACACCAGGATTGCTGCCTATGTATTTATAGGCATAAAGACAGTCAAAGGTTTCATTCAGAAATTTTCAAGCAAACTGTGCTTACACACATACACATTGTATTTATTGAGTAGTGCAGTGGAAACTTTGCCCATACATGTAACTTATCTGGAGTCAGCAGGAGATACAACCAGCGTAACCTGAGTGATTCATGTCTGGTTTTTGAGGTATCAGGAAGAAAAATGTTATCACTGCACTTCAGAATAAGTCAGAAGAGTGCCTTTTTACTTAGTTGAGATCAGAACTGCCACAACATTTTTACCAAGAAATGTGAGAAAATGATATACCAAGAGGAAAGGTGAGTGTACCAATGTGTTGTCCCAAGAAAATGCTATTTACATCTAGGTTAGTTAAAGACGCAAGACCAAACAAGTCAATGGAAAACTCCTCCTACGAGAGTATTCTCTGCTACCAAAGGAGATGGTTGGACACTGAGGGCAAAGATAGCTCAGTACAAATGTAATTCACATGATGGGATGCTGGGTTTTTGTCAGATGACTACTACACACAGGCAGATCAGATGGTGCTAATTTACAGTGCAGCTGGGGCCAGAAGACAACTAAAATTCAACTAAACAATGGAAAATTATTTGGGGAATGAAAATAAACAACTATGCAACAGTGGGGTTTAGAGGAAGGCAGGACAGGAAACTTTCAGCGAGTTTCCAAGATTCAGTGAGAACTGAAATACCAACAACTGAGCTGCCACTACAGCTTGCTGCTAGGGATGTCTGAGTCCAAGTGTTGCCAGAAAAAGGCCTGTATCCTGCGCCACGCATCTTCTTGGGCTCTGGCATGCTCCTTCCATTGCCCTCCCCAAAGCACAAGCATCCCAAGCACTCTGTGAATTGAAACCTGGCACAGAGGCAAGTATGGTGGCTCCAAGAGGTGTCCCGCTCCAGAATAGGAGCAAAACTCTGCTTGCCGTCCATAGCACTGAAGGCGCTGAACAGCATCCTGGCAATACAGGTCACTTTTCCAGTTCCTGTCATCCAGTCCGGACAGGAAAAGGAACTTGGCCAAGGACCTCTCCATGGGAATGCGACAGTTCCAAGTTGCTGGGTCCCTGTGATCATCTAGGACATCTGAAAAATCTACTAGGCCAGACTCATCACTGATCTTCATCCTCCCCAAATCAAATGGGTGGGGAGGAATAGTGAAGCCATCCCCCCGCAAGGGAATGAAAGAATTAAAACCACTTCCAGATATGCTGACAGCTGCCTTGATGCCAGGTATAAAGGTGGCCATGGAAAGGGCTAGATCAGCTCCTTTAGACAAGCCCAAAACGCCAATTCCAGTATCTTTCACCTGAAACACAGTTATGAAAACAACCATTATCAACTACTCTTCATTTCCTGGGCCGACATAACATCTCCAGTTCTGCTTCCTCACTCCTCATCCAACTAAGACCACCCATATTTGATCCTTTCCCTCTCTGTGCTGAGGTTGTATCACTCCTATATCTCTCCCTTTGCTGAGTGTCCACATGAATGACTGAATTCTACAGCTCCTCAACATTTCTCCTCT